GATTATAATACGTCAGGCTATTACCGACGCCTTAAAATCTACAGGAAGGTAGTAGTGGACTTATAAGCAGTGGTGCAAGAGGTGGGTGAGTAAGGGTGACTCACCAACATGGGAGTCACTGAATGAGTCACAAGTTCAACCCTAGCAGTGTGACGTGGCCAAGCAGGAGCGCCTTAAATGATGAAATATTTTCATATTCTTTGTTGTGGATGTTTCAATTTAATGAAATACAATATAGTGCAACAACAACACTTTCTAGTCCATGATAGTAATAATAATAATAATACAAATAATAATAATAATAATAATAATAATAATAATAATAATAATAAAAAAACCCGAACGAGGTGTCAACTTACACTGGGTTGTACTGTACCTATTGACCATGACTTATGACCATATAACCCCCAAACATAGTAGCTCTAGGAAACATGGACATATGTCTGAGTGTATATATGTCCATGATGAATATAGTAGCTCCTCCGTTAGTCAGAAACACACCAGTAGATACAGACAAATGACATGTTGAAATATTAATAGCATTGGCACAATACATTTATCTACTATCCACCAAAATTACAATGGAATGATGACGATTAGCCTCCTCGTGTGGTGTCTCAGAACTCTACTGTACACACTGACCGTAAACTTAGTTTAATTCAATTTCAATTGTTTATCCTAGTGCTGTCACTAGGTACCTCTGTACAATAACACCAGAAGCATCTGACAAGTGTCACAAGTATATACAGTATAAATATTATAAAGGGGCTTACTTCTATAAAGGATAATATAGGTCTCGGATCTTTTATAAACAACTGTCTCCTATGGGTAATTAAGTTCTGTGTAAAGACCAAAAACCTCTCCTTACTGTTCATTTATTTGTTTTGAATAAAGTTTATCCATTTATTTCGATTGATCATTGACTTTTCTTACATGATATATGGTGTGGCGCTGAAGACGATAGGGAACATTACTCTGCTAAAGCACAAATCAAAATTGCATTCTCTTCCTGTATCCATGGAGCGGAACTAAATGAACTGAATATATATATATATATATATATATATATATATATATATATATATATATATATATATATATATATATATATATATATATATATATATATATATACTACATAACTAACTGGAACGAATTCATATATCGTGTTGGTATTTAGTGCAATTTAATAGTAGAGTGTGTTACAGAGATTGGTATCCCCGCATCCCCTGAGCAACGCTCTTGTGCATTATGCAGAAGACCCGACAGCAGCACCCTTATCCACTACCTCCTAAGATGTCCCCACACACAACGCTTCCGTGACGCCTGCTGGACCACCACTCCACGACCCCCTGACGGAGACACGATGATCCTCCCCATACTGGCCAGATATTTTGTAAATAACATTGATTATGTGTTAAAGGAATATCCTTCCTTCCTTTATAATATTTATACTGTATATACTTGTCACACTTGCCAGATGCTTCTGGTGTCATTGTACAGGGGTACCTAGTGACAGCACTAGGATCCCGCTTCCTCTATCAAGGAATAAACAATTGAAATTGAAATTGAGTGTGTTACAGTGGGATTACTTCACCAAAGAAAACCACGTCATTCGATGGGGAACTCCTCAATCTGGCGTCGGTGTATGTGGCGTTTCATGAGCTATTCTCTTCAGCAATTTGATTGACATATTGACAAACACTAAATAAGGTGGGATATATTGTGTGCCACGAGTAGGTGTAATACTGTCTCCTAAGAAAAAAATATTGTTTAAGGAGTTTTGGGCTTTAAGGAGTATTTTAGCAGAACAGTACAGTAGGCACGCGGGTCGGGTAGTGTTGCGTCTCTGTAACAAAGCGTGTTCGGCACTCGGGCCTTCGTTGTTGAGCGGCAGAAATTGGACGGTAATTACATGAGAACATTAAGATCGTCTAAGTGATGTGAAAGTGTAAATCTATGTAGGATTTTTAATGCTAGACGCTATTGTAATTTTGAAAACTCAATCTCCACCGAGTTGGAGGTACAGCCCAGGTCAAGAGGCCGACAACCACAAAATCATTGCCATATGACAAAACTTTAATTATTTTTTTTACGGAGTTGTGGTCACGGCTGTGATAAAGGCCAACTAGGGAGTGTAGTACTGCGCCTTTAGTTAAATTAGTTCATAGTGTCAACAGTGCCAGCGGAAGAGGTTGTAAATAACTTAAAGTGAATACAAATTGGCAAGCAAGCTGGTAAGGCAACACTGCCAGCAGAGACCAAGTCGTGTTATACTGTAGGTGCCACAGAGACTTTTAATGACCAGGATAAAGCTGAGGCATTGAACAGTTTCTTTTCCTCGGTGTTCACAATAGAGGATGCGATTAACCTTCCTGCGTTTGAGGACAGACGGTTCGACACAGCACTGACCCACATTGTGTTCACAGAAGAGGGTATTAGAAATAAACTGTCAAAGCTAAAGGTCCATATGAGTCCCGGCCCTCACATGGTGCATCCTAGAGTGCTAACAGAGTTGAGCAACGAGCTTGCCGAGCCCCTGAAGGTCCTGTTTTGTAAATGCCTGGATGAACAAAAGGTTCCCAGTGAATGGAAAGTGGCTTATGTGAGTCCTATCTTCAAGAAGGGTGATCGTCACTCCAAGAACAACTATAGACCGGTGAGCCTGACCAGCATAATATGTATAGTACTTGAGAGTATTATCAGAGATGCCGCAATGGAACATCTACTACGAAACAACCTTGTAAAGGAATGCCAACACGGTTTTATGTCGGGGCGCTCATGCTTAACACAATTGCTCAAGGTATTGGATATTTGGACCCATATTCTGGAATGGGGTGGTAATATCGACAATATTTACCTAGATTTTGCCAAGGCTGTCGACAGTGTACCCCACAAAAGGCTGAAAATCAAACTGGAAGGGTACGGAATTCTGGGAAATGTCCTAGCGTGGATAGAAGACTTTCTACATGAACGCAAGCAGTGTGTGGTGATTAATGGCACGAAATCATCACCCGTACCTGTCACAAGCGGGGTACCACAGGGCAGAGTATTGGGCCCGCTGTTGTTTGTTTGTTTCATAAATGACATGCCTGACGTTGTGCACTCCTCCATACAAATGTTTGCCGATGATGCCAAGTTATTATATTTCGGGAAATCAAGAACCAAGTGGACTGTGAAGAGCTACAGAAGGACCTCTGTGGGCTCCAAGAATAGTCGAAGAAATTGTTGCTGAAATTCAATGTCACGAAGTGTAAGAGGATGCACCTGGGGCGTACCAACGGTAAGGAGGCGTATCATATGTCCCAACGGGATGAAGAAACTGCATTATTTGAGACTGAATGTGAGAAGGACCTAGGTGTGTATGTTGACAATGAGCTGAAGTTCTCGGGTCATTGCGAGAAGAAGGTAAATCAGGCAAATAAATTATTAGGTCTTATAAGAAGGTCGTTCAGATATCTAGACGGACCGTCCCTCGTAACGATCTTCAGGAGTGCAGTGCTTCCCCATCTGGAGTACTATCACCCCGTCTGGTCCCCGAGATATGCTAGGGACTGTCAGTTGGTTGAAAATGCTTAAAGGAGGGCCACCAGACTGGTGCCTGCCCTTCGGCACCTCAGCTACCCTGAGAGATTGGAGCGCCTGAACTTGCCTAGCTTATACTACAGACGGGCAAGGGGTGACCTAATTGAGGTGTATAAGCATCTCAAGGGGCACTACTCAGTCGAGTGTCCTTACTTGGAGCTGGCGGACGCTCGCCCCACAAGGGGTCAAAGCTCAAGATTGAAGAAGCCGCAAGTCTAGAAAACTGTGAAGGCAAACTTTTTCGGAATGAGAGTTGTGAACTCTTGGAACAATCTACCAGAAAGTGTTGTGACGGCACCGTTGAAGACCAGAATTGACCAACACTGGGGCAGGTTCAGGTACATTCAGGAGCCGGTGCATGCCCAGTACTTACCAACATTGCGTAACAGAGACGTGACCGATCGCCCAAGCGGCTAACGAGCCGATCATTTGGTGAAGAGGATAAAAGAAAAAGTAAAGGCAAGTACTGTACTGCATATCTCATTATCCCCAGGCGATATGTGCGCTGAATTGCATCAACGAAGGAATTTCTTCCCGGTAAACTCACTAGGTAGTTCTTATTCTCTGAATCGTCATCTCTCTAACAAGTACAATCAGAACTCACTTTTGATTCGGTTGCTAACTTCTCCTATTCAAACAACTAACAATTCTTTGCCATTGTTGTCTTATTTCTCTAGTAACTTCAACAGTCCTATTCAATCATACAACGTGCAAGTCCTCGCATTATGTTTCGGTGCTTTTGTGCTAAGAGTTACTTGACTGGTCACTAGTGTTAAGTTAGCGCCTGGTCAACGAACATGGGCGTCAAACAGTAACCCACGAGGAACAGCGCCACACACATGAGAGACGAGAGATACATTTACTCATAACTGATATCTTGAAATTGGCGAATTCCCCACACCTTAAATTTTTCATTATTTCTGGAAAAATCACGCAGGCTTCCATTTTCGCTATGGTGGTAAAATCTTGACAGTTCATTTTTGGGTTGTTTTGGCTTACTGTACAGTGTATGATTTGGTGTTTAAGGCTCGTCATTACAGCGCGCGGTACGGCACACACACACACACACATTATATTCTCGCATCAAGTATTTAGTTTGCAGGTTTCAGTTGTGGATATATTTTTTTCTGTTGGCGAAAAATATGGAAATTATGGAGACATATGTTACTTTTGTTAACTTTCTTGAATGTGATTATGTGCTCTGATAATATATACAAAAATGTTTAATTCAGTAACTTTGAAAACCACAGCCTAAGTTACAGACACTGTATACATAATGATTATCTTTTATTAGTATGGTAATCTACAAACAGTATTTTGACCATTCCCTTAACGGTTAAGGGAATGGCATTACATCATAAGTTGAACAACATTTTTTGTTCCCTTCTCTCCCGAATTGTTATTCACAGCCTTACCTGGTTACCGTCGTCTGTAGCGTTGCCTTTCCTCTTAGTGAAGGGAGAGAGGACGTGGTCGTCATCATTAGAGTCGGTGCCGGGAACACGGTCGAGGTCTGCACCCCCCACCGGGCCAGTTCCGGTGAGCTTTTCCAAGACTGAATCAGACAACCCCCCGAAGATGCCTTCCAACACCGCCTCGTCGCTGTTACTGTTATAAACACATGTTACTGGCCTGATGTATCGAAACCTTGTTATAGTAAAACAATTCAGATACTAATAAATAAATAAATAAATACAGTGTGTGTGTGTGTGTGTGTGTGTGTGTGTGTGTGTGTGCACCAGGACAATGAGGGTCGTGTTTAGTGAAGTCGTTTGATAAGTGATGGTGTCAGCATGAACGAACTCTGACGACTCACTTTAGTGTTCACAGTGACTTGTTAAGAGGTGTTGTGAATCACTGAGGGCGCTGAAGACCTTCTGTACACTGCTACTACAAGATGAGGATGTGAACAGGTGTATGTGGCCCGCTGCTTACCTTTCATCACTGACTTATTAATTCTCCCAAGTTGAGATATACTTTCTCTAATGCTTTCTCTCTCCTGCATCTTGCAACGTTTCCAAATCTTTTCTACTTTCTCTCTAGCACTTCCTCATCTCTTATTAACATAAAACTTTCTTCTACGTTTTTAAATCTATAATCTTTCCTCCTCTATCCTACTTTGTGTAATACTTCTTCCTACTTCCCATAACGTCTCTTCCTCTCCCCTGCTTCCATCTTCCTTTTTACTTTCTTGAATTGATTCAAATTCAGATTCGCCTCTACGAAGCACGGGGGCTAGTTTATTGTGCACACCTTACATCATCTTTCCTAATTTCTATAAACCCTCCACCTTTCTATTTTCTTTAGCGTTTGCTAATCTTGCCTACTTTACAATGCTTCTTCCTTTCTTACTTTCTTTAACGCCTCCTCCTTCCTACTTTCCTCATCGCTTCCTCCTCTCTCCTGACCTCTAATACTGTCTCCTCCTCCTTCCTACTTTCCGCATCGCTTCCTCCTCTCTCCTGACCTCTAATACTGTCTCCTCCTCCTTCTACTACAATCCAAGTGGCCGAACCAACCTGATCTCCTCGTTGAAAATATTATATGGGCGAGGCTCTCTTAGACTTTCGTACGATGACGACGGCAGAAAGTTTTCAGCTGGGCCATTAGGGAGGAACTCGTCGATGCTGGGGTTGGTGGTCGTCAGGCGGAACACAGTGCTCGAGTTGGCGGTAGCTGGGATCTCTGTAACGGTGAAGATGGGCGTCGTGGCGCGCTCCTGGGAGTATGACGTCGTGGAGAAGGGACGCCGAGTAGTGGGGAAGGGACGCCGAGTAGTGGGGAAGGGACGAAGAGTAGTGGGGAATGTAGGCCTCGGAGTGGTTGGAAACTTTGGTGGAGAGTACGTGGTTGCCACTACTGGTGGGAAGTAGGCCGTGGTTAAGGTCGGTCGGTGGGTAGTGGTTGGGATTCGTGGTGACTGGGTGGTGGTTAGGATTGGTGGGACGTGTGTGGATGTCTGGATCGGTGGGGAATATGTTGTGGTTTGAATTGGTGGGGAATAATGAGTGGTCGGAATAGACGGAGAATGTGTTATGACTGAAACTGGTGGGGAGTAGGAAGTGGTGAATACTGGTGGGGAAATGGTGGTGCTGAGGAGTGGTGGGACGAAGGATACACTTGGGGATGAAAACGAGGAAATATGTGGGGAGTGTGTGGTGGTGGGTATCAAGTGAGCGATGGGAGAGAAGGGCGGGGTGGGTGTGGTGGAGATGGGCGTGTAATAGTGATGCTGGCCGCCATGAGGTCTCAGCCCCACACCCACCACCACGGTAGAGCTGGTCGATGACACCTCCGAGGAATCGCCTGTGTAACGATAAGACAAATGGCATTATGAAGAGCTCTGTAATAATACGCTGGCTGTTCATGTTGTGCGTGAATGTGGAACTTTACATAGAGAAATCCCAGTGTGGATAAGATGGTGTATACTTGAACTAGAGAAAAAAGATTTATTGCCAATATTAGGTAAAATATTAATGTTAAAGTCTGTTGTAGATTTAGGGTAAACTTGTTACTGGGGTTGACAAGCATAAAAGGAGTGACCTACATAAATTTTAGATAATTTGGTCGAAGGTCAAGGTGAAAGGATGACCGCTTCTGACAGTGTAAGAGTTGGTGGTATTATATAAATGTTGTTGTTTAGATATAGGTTGAATTTTTTAGCAGTAAGTGGAAATTCGAAATAAAAGAATGAACGATATTTTTACCTTCCTAAGAGGACACTGATGTCCATCGTCATCAACAATTTTGGCTTCATAAACTAAAAAGATTTGTCGGATCACCTGAAGATTCGCCCTTCTCAGCTTACTGCATCCGAAGATTAACCATCCTAACGCTGACCTAACCTAACCTAACTTCCCCCAGGTAGCGTTATAGGGTGGTTGATCATCAAGTGAAATTAGCTTGGAGAGGGGGGTCGAGTCTTCAGGTGATTCGTTGCCAATACAGCACAGCGCCTAAACACGTACTGTTTTTTACGTGGACAATGTGGTGAGGGTCGGTGGTGATAAAGTCGGGCAGGACGGGGTGAGGACGGGCGGTCGTGATGTGGAGCTGCTCCGGAGTCGCCTTCTGCGTCACCACATGCACGTTCTCATGAGATGCATGTGGGCTCTGCAGAGTCACATGAGACAATGGTGCAGAGGTGCTCACGTGGTAGGGCTTTGTCAGGGGGCGTGGTCGTGGTGTAGACAGATGAGTGGACCCATGTTCAAGAGTTGGTTGAAAGTTGAAGACGTGCCCGGGAGCTTTAGAATCTGAGTTGGATGTGCTGAAGTTAGTTGGTCTACTAGATGATGTGACGCAAGATGTATAACTTATGGTTTGTGAGGTATTATAGACACCTTGAAAGTAAATGACATCAATATTTAGATGCCACACGTATAATTTTTTTGTAGAAGTGATGAAACAATACGAAAAAGAACATTACCTGAACGAATATCAGCTTCATCGCTAGAGATGACACGGCCCCCACCTGTGATGTGAAACTCTCCGAAGTGGCTGTTTTCATCATAATCCGAGCTGAGGATGCTGCTGTACGAGCTGGTGGCTATGAAGGGTGTGTGGGGTGTGGTGACCCTTGGGACAACGGGTTTTCCTAACACTACGACAGGCTGCTGAAAGACGGCAAACTTTGTATAGTTAAAGGAAATTCTCACATTATTCATATTTGTAGTTGATATCCGCAGCACAAATCAAATCAAATAAATATACAGGTAAATTAGAATAAATAGTTTCTTTCAGTGGGAGAAATGGTAGTTAAGGAGGTAATTTGTGAACTGTGGCAAACTACTATCTCTACGATGACTAACACCATAGGAGTACCCATATTAATGTCAAGAGTTTGTGTGACTTTTTCTTGTTTATTCTATGAACTAAATGGTGTTCTCTATTCCTCCCGGGAGAAAGGTGGGTGCGTGAGAGAACAACAATAACATTCCACTACTAATTTTGTTCTGTTATATTACATACTTGCTATCTTGTGCCTTATAAGTTTAATTTAGTATTGGGCAATAAGAAGTGCGTAGTGATTATAACTAACAGTGGTAGGAGACTTAAGAATATTAAAACTATCATCACTTATTACCTACATCATTAACAAAGTAATAAAGGAATATTGAGAAATTCACAATATTCTCTGGCACTAAATATAATAATAATATAATTTACACAAGTATTTACACCCAAAAATGTAAATATTGTTATGTACAGTACAAACTTCATTAACATTCGCTGTTAACTTCAGTTTCTAGAGCAACATCTGTTGGGCATCAAAAATATGTTGAAATGTATCAGTTATCCTGACTACTCACATACCGTCCCGTGACACCTTCTCTAATCATATGCAAAATTATATAAACAAACAAACCAAGCCTTCTGGAGTCTGAAAATCTTAAATTCCACACAACTTGTATAATTCCCAAAGAAAACTGTACAAATTCCAGATGCTGTAAACTACTTAAATAAGGCACATACAGTATATGGAGTACTGTATTCTGTGTATGTAGAGCAATAATATTCACCGTAGACACTCCAACTGTTGTACAATATAGTAATTTGCATTAATAGTACAGTGATACATGTTTGAATATTCCTCTCATATAATATCATCTAGTGCCTTTAGGGTGACCTTATACTATTATCGTTAACTATCATCTAGGCTTAGGAGAAATTCTGCAAGTGAATCAGATGTAGTTAGTAAGTGGCATGCGTGGTTAGTTCTCGGTAATTAATGGTAGTTTGTTGTACTGTACTAATTATTATTATGAGTGCACCCACATGGCTCACCACTAGACTGATACACTTGCCTTTACTTCTGTGGCTTCCTTAATGGGGAGTTTTGAAATACATCTTGAGGTCTGGCGGGACTAGCGACGCGGGAGGCTTTTATGGGGCGCTGCATGGTCTGGTGGCTGAGCTGCGTCCACTGTGTGTGTGTGTGTGTGTGTGTGTGTGTGTTCAATCATCAGTCCCAAAAGTTGCAGTGTCTTCTGTACATCGGTTATCTAAATAGAGCGTCCGACAGTATAGTCTCCCCGAGGCAGACGATGACGATGCACCATTTAACATGACAACATCAGATAACACAAAGATAAATGCGTGCAGTGTGTGTGTGTGTTGTCTCAACTTTCTTCTACACAGGTGCAGAGGAGAGGAGAGCGACTTTCTCCCCCTCGTATGCTTTACTATACCGTTGAGTGAAAGTTGAAACATACAGTATATCACACCTTATATTTTTATCCTGTTTACGTGTTTTTTCCGACATTAGTTTCTGAAAGAGACGTCGGCATCGTTGCAATCCATTTTCTTCAACTTATTATAAAAGAAGTTCTGGAGGAGATGTTTCGTCTCCTGTCTCGTTGTTGTTTAATTTTATGTTTTTCTCAATCTCAATAATGTTTTATCATGATGCGGCGAGGGAAGACCTGGAGGGGCAGCACCGGCCGGCAGAGGATTAACCTACACAAACTGTCTCAGACCTCTAAACTTCATAACAATTTCTATATCGTTAATGTTAATAGTACAAATAATGTCGTTAATTTTTATTGAGAATATAAATTCTAAATGGTAAATATGATGTGATAATTACACTGACAAAGAAAGTGTCGTAGTTGATCACAATTAACCTCAACATATCAGAAATATTTTATGACAGAAACACAATTCAATTAGGCAATTATATTGAGTATTCTTCACATGCTGAAGGTGTATGAGTATTTTTCCAAACGATTTGCTATATTCTAAAAATATGCTCAACGTTACTTGTCTAACACTATGTACTGTACTGTACTGTAATGTATCTCCCATATTAACTGCTGGCCCAGGGTGGAACACTTCACCTTGTTTATCTGGGTACTGCTTCTTCAACATCTCTGGAGCCTCCACTGACAGTTACTAAATGGGGGCATAATTTTTTTTTTACTAACCATAATTTTATAACTGTCCATACTACAGTCATATCAGTTACCCAAAAGAGCCTGCACACGGTACAAACTGGGTAAAAATAAAAAAATAAGAGAGTCAGAGTACTTGATACTTTCTCAAAATTTCTTAACACTAACTTTCTCATAAGAGGGAACATTTTGCTTTAATTTTCCTATGATGATATTACAGTTAAGTATAATAATGTAAAGCGTTCCTCTCAAGAGCGAATGGTCAAGACTTCGATTCCCGACGTCAGTGAATGGTTGTGTTCCTTCCTTGTGCAGCCACCCACCGGTAAATACTTCACCTGATGGGTCATACCGAGGGAGGAACAACCAC